GCTAGAAATGAAATATTCGTCAATAATTGAGTTAATACTGGACGAAAATAATGTGTCTCAAGTGAGTTACCTCACATTGTAGAAATGAATAATATTAGTCCATGCTTCACTGAGTAAATAAGATGTTGAAGTATAACAGCAACAAAAGTGGCTAGGAAAATCTCATTATCAACATCCACCAGACATTTGTGTGATATGCAAAAAGGTTACTGTTAAACTGCTTGATATCTAACTATGTGCTTCAAAAAGTTGCCAATAAAATATAATGTGCATTGTTTGGAAATTGGTTGCATACAAAGACAAATACTTTTTTTTTAAGTAAGCGAGTAGGGATCTTAAAGAAATAAACGAAAAATTGCCCAACCACTTACTACGATAGTAGATCATCATGCAAACAAAGTAATATGCTTTTCTGTAAACTGCGAATTTTTTTCTTACGCAATGGTGCTATGTGCTTTCCGGCAACGATGGGTTCCCATGAGATTTTTATTATACTAATATTTTATCAGCACATACTTTGCGGTTTTCAAGCTTATAACTTAACCGCCAAAAAAAAAGTCCAGTACATTGTGCTACCTAACACTTTTAAGGCAATCTTAAACATTTTCTGTCTATCCACGGCGTTTCGTTGTTCAGACGGCAATTGGTGTCCTATTTGCAGCTTCTTTCAAAAATGGAAATTCAAACCCAAGGGAAATGAACTCTTTCGGCAAAGACTTGCTTTTAATAGGCCATTGATTAAATGAAGGTCCGTTTAAGGTCAAACAGATTTACTCAGATATTTTCCTAAGGGTTTTTCATGCGCATCATTTATTTAGGGAAAAAGTTGCACACATTTTTTTGCGAATGCATTTTTTAAACTATCTAAGCCATAAGCACAAACTTCCTCTCCTAGACATTGTTTTTAAAATTTCGTCGATTCCGCATACATTCAGGTTACATGAGGAAATTTGAAATTTGCCCAAATTTGATACATATAAAATAATTTATAGTAGCAGATACGCGCATTTATCAAACAGTTAAAAGTAAGCCCTGCTCGTGCTGAACTTAAAGTTTAATGGAAACATCCCAGCTAAGAATCGCTAGGCCCAAAAATCAGGCCTGCCATGAAATGCGCATGACCAGTTAAAACCTTTGGTATCGCGTCATCGTAAAAAAGGCGTCTTACTGGGGTACTTCGTTAATGAGGATCCACATCTTTAATCATTCATTAAAGCAGATTAATGACAAAATTAAAAACCTTTTGCCCGATAATGCGAAAACCTATCCCTCCTTCTCATACTGGGGCCGTTTTCATTAGCTTTGGTTACTGTAAGGGTTCGTTCTGTAGCTCCAAATGTACTGAAGGGTAGTCATGTAAGTACCTTTGTACTAACTCAATCGCTAATTCCTTGTCTGTTTCGCTTTTTGAGTGGGTATTGGTAAAAACTGAATCGTATCAAAATATCTTACGCTATGCCCAGAAATTTTAAAAACTGTTCGATATTGTATTTATTTTCGGTTATTAATAGAACGCTTACGTACACGTCGATATTTTTTTAAAACGAATAATAACCTATCGACGTTCATATTCGTTTAAGAACATAAACATGCAATGTTTTAGGAATTAAAAGTTCCCAGGAAGAAAGGCATGCTCTCCGCAAAACGGGTTGCTCACTCGCGTGTTGCACAAACGTGAAGGATTCGGTCTAAAACTCAAAATTTACAGTGACAGAAGGTGGTTCGCTGGATATTGTCTGTTTAGAGAGGAACACGGACGGAAAATAGCCCAGCTATAAACTGGTTGGGAAAAAAACGATCTTGTACCTGGGACGAGAACTTTTTTCGACCGACTTTGAATCTGTGCTTGAACTTAACCATACTCCTAAAATGGGTGGCAGCATTTTACATTTGTTACTACTACTGCATAACATAACGCAAGGTGCGGCTCCTTTTTTGGTTCCACACAGCCTTTATAAGAGTTATTCGTACAGAACATCTATGTCTGAATATGAAGATAAGGATTTTTTTGCTCGTTACTTAAAATTATAAATCCAAAACAGAATATTTTAAGAGCCTGATTCGAAGGTATAGGAATAATTTACTTTAAGGCAACTTCGTTCCGGGAGATAACTACAGGGTACCCATTTTATAAACGGGCATTACTAGCAGCAGTTTAATTTAAGATGAGCATTGTTTCACTGTACTCGCCGCATTGCGTCTGATTAAATGAAAGGACACATGCTTTGTTCATCTATTTACTGCCCCAGGTTGCAGTTGTGAAGGGCTCCGCCACTCAGTCAGTCACTCAATTCGCATGCCTACAATGTCCCCCAATGTTCCACTTAAATTGCTTATCTCGGTCAGCCCTAAGCAACAGGATAAGATACAGTTTGGGCTGGGGAAGATTAATCTCATATTTGAACATGGGGCTGCCTCTCACACAGAAGCTATTTATTAAAATAAATTGCACACAACTTGGCCGAAAGCTTCCTTTTAAAACCTAATATAACTTATTAATGAAGTAGGAGCAAAGAAGAATTCAAAGAATAAACACCACTCTAAACGTTTCTGTAAAAGTGGGTTTGGTGGGACGTTTAAAGAGGATAACATTTCACAGAAGAGATTTATTTGGGTTGAAACTCGAAGCTTTGCTGAAATTACCGTACTTTAATTCCACACAGTTGAAGGGATGATGTAGTTTCCAATATTAATTGCAATTTTTTGAAAATGTAATGCTTAGCTTTTTGAAAAATTTTATTTTGTCGTGAAAACATCCTTTTCCTCAGATATAAAATTCACGTAAGACACTTCCTCTCAATAACTTTATCTATATCTGTTTTTCTATTCGCGGACTGGCAGGTAGACTTTATTCTGATTGGCTACTCCTTCGACTATACACTATAAAAAGCGTGATTCCGATGACTGGAGAGCCTCCATCGAAACTCCGAAAGGTAAGCAACTGTTTTTCCATAAATATTTATAATTGTAAACAATAAAGTCGCTAGGAGCTGAAAATATATTTATGAATAACACTTTTAATAGTGTAATTTTTATTCTCATGCAACAATAAATAGTTATCTAGCCAAAAATAATGTTGACATGGTATGGTTTATTCAATCGCTTAGTCTATATATGCATAAATGTGAAAACGTTGGGCCTCTTTGCCATAGTCGAGACGAAGTTGCAATGTTTCCGGTCACTTCCGCAGATCCGTCTTAAGATTAACTTTATAGTAAGATGTGAGCTTACTATGCTAGAGAGTTTTAGGACATAGGGTTTACATCACCAAACAACGTTTCATATGAGAGGATTGTCGTCGTGTTGTGACATGCGAAGGATGAGCTGGGAAGGTGAATTTCACTTGTAACCTGCCGCATCGGAGGAAAGCGCGAATAAAATGTTCGAACAGCAGCAGCCCACAGATTCGTCGTGTACCACAACCCAAACTGCAAACCCCAACTCACTTTCGGCAACTATCGCAAAACATTATTCACTTCCATTCTCCGTATATGTGCCTGTTGACGCGCCTACTGTGCAACAAAGCGCCCGATGACAGATGGGCGAAAACAGCTTGAACATTCAAGAGTCAAACTAAATCTTACGAACTGTCATTCTGCTTTTTATTTCATTATCATGCTGGCTTGCTCACATTCGAAGTTGTAAAATGCATACAAGCTTCAGGAAAGTGAAAGGAATTATACAGATGCTATCCCTGGAATCAGCTGTTAAATCAGCTCATGTTACGAACTCTCAGGCTACCTCATATTAGATGCTCGAAACGTCGAAGTAATAGAAAGAAACTGGTCCCACAGAGCACCTGTGTATATTTTCCAGCACAACTTATTTGCATCTATAGCCAAAAAACAAAATTACATATATTGTATGCTAACCACCTGCCACCAGCTCATGTTCTTACCTGCAAACGCGATTCTACATAATTGTGTAGAACAACACACTTTCTTACATTATTTTCACAGTCAAGACAATGGAAATGCAGCTAATTATGCCTTTTAATTGTCATATATTAATCTTAATTTTACAATTTTACAATATAAATATCATATAATAATTAAACATTGTCATATCAAATTCTAGTTTAAGGAAGTCACCGCTGAGTTATTAGCTAAGACATCTGCCAATGTATGGATAACAACACTATAGGTGTTTATTCCATGAGTTACAAAGACATGTTACAGAGTAAACACTAAAAACAGGCTAAATGAATAGTTAAATCGAAAGGTATCAAGAGCCACTGTTGTCCTTAAATGTAGCAAAAACACAGCATCTTCTTTGTGTGCTTGTTAGCATGTTTATTTTAGGGCTTCCTGTTAATAATTTATACTACTTTTAAACATTAAATGTGCCCTCTTTCTGTCTTATATGACACAGAATGCAGTAATGCTAATATTTGTCCTTTGCAGATAATCTCAGACATTTTTCTTGTGCTTTTATGCTAATTGAAAACAAACCTTTATGGTCATTTTATTTAAATTGTGCAATAAAATGCAACCAATTTATCGCGACATTGATCAGATATCATCTTTTGATTAACTTAAAAGTAACGAACAATGCACGGTCGTGTTATTAAGAAGACCATTACTCTACTCCTCTTAAAAAGAGTTACATGTCTTATGGAACCCGGAATTAAAAGTATTTTGCTGAACTATGGTCCTAAAGCAGAAATACGATACCAGATTCAGCTTATGCTTGTTACTACATCATAGACTAGATTAAGAATTACCGGGGACTATTGAAGTGTTCTGCTTCCAGTTATTGTTGTCGAACGGAGTAAGTGGGAAGAGATCCCCTGCAAGAACTGATTCATTTATGTGAGCACATTTATGATAACGTAAACTTTATTTATAATATTTGTTGTGCAAATCAACATCCACTTTCTAATTGAGAAGTAATCGCGAGACCTGTCCATACATAACGCATTACGAACCGCTAGTTTTTAGTTCCTACATCACCTAACTCCGTTTCGTTTCATATCTTGTGATCACTGGCGTGCACCAGCAATGATTCGTGACTACCTCACTCTGATCGTGCTGCTTAGCGCTTCCGTGGGCCTGCTAAGGACTGCAGAGGGCAGCAAAATTCCTGCAGCTGATTGGTCGGCCGACGTGGGCAGCAGCAAAAGTCAAACGCAACTATGCAGTCTCGGTCGTCGGCTTCAAATAATGAAAGAAATCCAATTTCTCTCAAGGTACTTGGATATCTGCTCTGACAGCACCCTTTTCGATGGCAAGACAAGAAAACGTTCCCCCGAACCCCTCTGGGTCGTGGAATGATCGGCCAAAATACAATGGGCTCCTGTTTTTAAAGAACACTAATTTGACCATTGAAAACTCTGTTGGGATTACTGCAAATATATCAACCTGGTGTTTTACTTCAGTTGCTTATTTTGATAAACAACGAATGTGTGCGAAGTAAATCACATGTCTAAGTCGGAATTAGCGCTCTCCTGCTAATAAATTGTGTCCTTCAGGTTTTTAACACTATGCGATATAATTATTAACGAGGCCAGGGTGAACGGAGGGAAATTGGTCATAAAAATTTACCGAATTTATAAACTGTGCGTTAGGTGGCTTGCTGCTATGACTGCATAAGATGAGGGGAGCTAAGAACGGAATCGGCCTAACAGCTGAAAGTGCGGAATTAAATTCAATCTAGTGTCGGTGAATCTCCCTAATATAGAGCTTATTTTAATTAAAACGTGGCGTTGTTATGGATATCTACCTATATATTCACTCAGGAATGTCCGAACACCGATCTAGTTGGCTTTTAAAGTAAACAAACATCAAGTGCTGGCTAGGGGTTCCAAAACGGGTGACCACTTGCCAGGCCGATGCCGGCCAAGTCATAATAGCAGAGGGGGATGACAGCGTTTGGGGGTAACTTAATGCAGAACTGTTTCAGGCTTATTTGCCTTCATTCAGCCGAGCATAGCCCTGACCACCAGCTGGACCGGATAGCAAATGGCAGGTGGCGAGGCATCAATGAACTGCGGTTCGATGAAGTGCTTATGACCCATCTGGTAGAATCCAGTGGCGGACCATCTGGGTGACAAGAACATGACTTTTTAGGGTCAGAACCGAGATTGCTATGAACATTTGGGTCGAAGACAATCAACGTTTGTGGAATAACCACTAAAATGCCCATTCTACGAACGAGCAGTACTACAAGCAGTATGAATCTATATGGCAAATATATATATGAATATTTGGAGATCGCCGATCTAGAAATGGAAAAATGTACGTTCCGGTTTTGCCCTGGGGCTCACTTTAGAGCCCCTGCAGGCAGTCGCATGGCGAGTAGTAGGATAGGATGAAATGGATCCAACAAAGCAATGGAAGATCGGAATCTCGATTTCCGGCTTATTAACCGTCATCAGCCAGTTATACCCAATCCCAGGTGTGGATCACAATGTATTCGAACCCGGGACCTTTGGTTATTGAGTTTACCACTATGCCACTGCACCACGGGCTCATTGCTTTGTCAAATTAGGCGAATTAGAGAAACTTCAGCAGTTTAAGGCGGGTACAAGGACTTCTTGGTATTTGAGCCAAAATTGCTGGCGGGGATGTTAGCTGTACCGAAAACGGCCCCCTCTGACCCAATGTACTACATTTAGCTTTACAACGGCAAACCACCCGACTGGTTCTTTAGGTCAATCTAAAACGCCTTAGTGAAGTCGCGAGAAATTTCACGCCATTATGTAACTGTGCAGGTACCATAGACGGTACTGACGCAAAGGTTCTTTAATACTGCTAGTTTAGTTACATAATAACTAAAGCCAGAATATATATCTGAGTATAACTTAACTCTTTGACTACGAGTCTACTAATATGCTGAAGACCTGGCTATTGACAAAAGGCACGACAGCTTTTAAATGTAAAACCGTGGTTGCTCAAACTGTTCCCATCACAACATCAGCTAATAAGAGGGAATAGGACAACCACAGCTGATTTATAGGCGCAGAACGAATGTGTCGCATTTAAATTATGTGGCCCTCTCAAGGATGCAGTCACCCTATAGTTAAAACGGTTTGACCATTTTCCAAAATATACTTAGAGGTAAGTCGACCTGGAACTCTAGCTTTTCAGATAACTTGGCTTTTAAATTGGTAGGTGCTGTGCTAGGTAGCTCGCTTCGCGTACAGCCAGTGTTAAGATAAGAACATTTGGTGGAAGAGTTGAGAGAAAATGGAGGATAGCACTTAATTGTTAATATATAGAGAACCATGGGTAGACGAGATAAGAAAAAGTGTATGAACGACGAAGGGTTATATGCACCGCAGTGCAGCGGGACGGCGTATGCAACTTTTTTGTGCATTGCACTGGTTGCTTACCCTATAGCCGCTGCTGCCGCCTCTGCCGTCAAGATAAATTCGGTAGCGTAGCAGCTTAAATATGGCCACCAAAGCTAAGTTTATAAGTTGTAAACTTTAATTTAGTTCTGTAGGATGTCCACTTGCGGGAAAAATGGGCCTAAAATATATTTAGATTTGGTCTGGTGTATTAATTTCATGGTATTTAAAAGAGCAAAATTAGCTCAATGTCCGAGAAAAGGGCACCTTTGTATAGTTAGTCTTGCTAGGCGCACTCGGCATTTGATCTTTTCTAAGTGAGGCCTCGATCATTAATGTCAGTTTATCGTGCTTCTTACCACAGCAGAAATTAACTGCGCCCTTTCCCGTTAACAACTCATAGTCTTCAGAAAACAGATTAATCTTTATAACCGCATATCTTTTATTTATTGTTGTTTATGTGCGCTGTGATATAGAAGTCCTATACAAGTTCTCCCACAAAATGTTCCTTAGCATTGCCTTCAGCAAGCACCTAGTGGATAACAAACGATGTTTCTCTTCTGAGCCAGTTGGACTTATGTGTGGAATGCTCATATTACCCAATTCAGGTTTTACTTCTGTAATTAATTATATATACGAGCCTGTCTGATATTATTAGAGTAATATCTAGAAAGGCAAAAAATCCCGCAAGCGTCGGCTTATAGAGTAAGGTCGTCGAAGGTTTTAAGAGCCTTAATGACCACCTGGTCATTCTAAAATTCTGCCCTACAGAAGCACATTGAGACGTAGATGAGCACTGAAGGTCTGCAAAAGCAACCTATCCCTAGCTCCAAGTCAAAGAAGCGGAATGCTTGAGAAACGTGGTCTTATTTTGACAGCTGGGTGTATCGGCGCAATAGAAGATAACGAAAAACGCATTTTAAGAACTCGTATGCCGGGTGCCGTGAGAGCTACAGTTATAATTACACCTCATTTTTGACGGTTCTTCCATTTATCCCGCGACAGATTTATCGGAGAAAAGATTTTCTTGAAGTGTCTTGTACAATAGCAAATACCTTTTACAGCGTATTCGAAGTGCGCACCCTTCTATATGGGTTAATTAGGCAGCGGACTAGGCTTCGCTTCTGACTTAAGAGAAGAAACTTTAGACATTTAGGAACAGCCCTCGCGATGTCATCTTAGACTCCTAGTTATATTACAATCAGATAATATGAGGTCCTGTGGGGGAACCTATCACCCATTAATCGTCCCAAGTGATTGGTGCAATCAAAGGAGTTTCAGAATATCCAACAGGCCCGCAGAAAAAAATATATCCTGCCGTTTCAAAGTTGGCGACCTATACTTACACTGAGAATCTTACATATTTATAGTGAGTGCGATTACCAAGTAGTACGTCAAAAGAAGGAGCATCCAACAGGAGACGCTGTGCATAA